GTATGTGAATGTCCAAATCTAGTTTATAATCAAGGGTGATTCCAAGATCCCTAATATTATTGACTCTGAGAATATCGGTTCCACCAAGGGTATATTTAAAATGGCTTCTCTTCTTTTGTTTTGTAAAAGTTAAAATTTTACATTTATTAAGACTCAGCCTTTATTTAGTAGTGCAATTTATGTAGTAAACAGTAAGTATTAAACCTGTCAATGTCTTTGTGTTTATCCTCATGTACTGATATAAAAAGGATTTGGTATTCATTTAACATCATTTTTCCAGGTTTTAGAACAGTGCTCTAAAGCAGGAGTAAATGTTGCAGCAACAGTGTGCGACATGGATGGTGTGAACAGACATGCACTATCAATCTTGGGTGCATCTCCAGAAAATCCGTATATAACTGTTCACGGCAAAGAAATTTAAGCATTTTACGACACGCCTCATTTGCTGAAATGTTTTAGAAACTGATTTCTAAAATATGAAATTGAATTCACGACAAGCATAAAATCAAATGACAACAGGGGCAGAGGTATGTATCCACATTCGAAACTATGGAAGGAACTAGTCTATTCTTTTTGTGAATATTAACTACCATCCCTAGCAAATACATAGCAGTCCTTGAGACTTACTATTATTTTTCATTATTATTTTTTTATACATACATACTGATGAATTTTATGATGAAACTTTGTTTTCAGGAGTGGCAAAATGGGACCATATTAAACAATTCTACAAAATTGATAATGCAAATCCAGATTTTGTTTTTGCGTTATGCCTTAAAAAGGATCACTTATCTCCTAATACAAAACAAAAGAGTCATCTTTCAAGTTTGCGGCTCAAGTAAATAAAAAGAGTAATCGTAGCTAAATTATTATTGCTTAGTTTGTGCTGCTGTTCCTTTAATACTATAATCCCCACATTTGACCTTCTGGGAAAGAGGAGTGACTGAAAATCAGCGTTGGGCAAGTGCATGCTCTTGCTCAACATAAGCTGAGTCACCACCGTTTGTCTCTGTAGTTTCTTTTTTTTATATATAATGTATTGTTTTTGTAATTTGAGGCAATAAACCATTTTTTATTATTTATTTATTATTATTATTAAGTATTGAGCCATTCTGTTGCGGCAGGAATTTATACCAAAATATCTGAAGGCGAGTTATTGTACAAAATAAACATATGAAATAATGCACGTTCACGTTGTCACCATCTCCAAGGACCCGGATTTGATTCTGAATCGCTTCGGTGTAGAAAATGAATATTCTATATTGTCTGACGTCTGGGTGTTGTGGCACTTTCGTTGTTTCAGATTTCAATAATACGAGGGCTTAAGTTGCTAATTGCATTTCTTTATTAGTATCTTCAGCATGTTAATAAAATAAATTTACATATAATTTATGTCATACTTAACTTGAGTATTTAAAAGAACATTTTGTGTTTACAGGATCTGTTTGATTCTTTAAACAGTGTTTAGATTTAAGAAGAGGAAAGCCTCACGCAACTAATATGACGGGATCTAGTCCTCATTAAGATTTATTTCAAGAGATGAAAACCTTTTTTCAACATTGAAATTTATTGGAATCACACGAAAACCACCATCACTAGAAGGCTGGATTTGGACCATCGATGTTATCGAAAAGATGTGGTGTAATTTGGTCCAAAAACATGGCATAAGGAGTCTCGCTACAAGCAGATTGCAACAAGACCCTCTTGAAAACCTTTTTGGGTGTATACGGGGCAATTTCGGTTCAAACACGAACCCGACCTCTTACCAATTTGTGGCTGGGCTGAAAAAAGCCATTTTGTCTGATCAAATTACTCAATTACATAGATTTAACGAATTTAAAGAATACAGAGACAACGAAAATAAATTAATTTATATTTCCAGAAACATGGTCACATGTGTTGAATTTTGTGTTGCAACTCTCAATATTATTTTTAAAGACAATGCATATGTTTAATTAATTTAAAAAAAGCAAATTATATTTTAAACAACACTGTTGATTTTTCTTTTTTAAACAGTTGCTCAGCGCACAAAGAAAATAATATTAAAGCAATTACAGAAACCATATTTTATATATGCATTAAAAGATATTGCTTATTAAAAAACAAATCATTTGCTGAAGAAGCATCAGCGTCGGCACTTTAACGTAAAATAGATACAATTTTACACAAATAAAAGTAGCTTTGTTTAGTCTTGTGTATAAGCAAAATCACTCGAACAGCTTCTAGTGGTCGGGCAAAAACTACCTCAGTTGATAAAAGCAAGCATGTATCTAAGCAAAATCGTAATATAGAGAATAAAAGATTTAAGCCTGATATACCCGAACTATTTTTGTAATACAGATTAATAATACGATTGATCCAAGCGGCATTTTTGGCGATACTGCGTTCAATTGGTACATATAAATAATTCAACATTACCAAAAAATGTCGCTTTGATCAATTAACCTTTCAACCGGAGAAGTCTCTAAATGAATTCTCTCATTTCAAAAATTCACGCGCTTATCCGTTAACATCTTGGATAAAGCAAAAGATGGCATTAGTGGACAACTTTGTATGGTGTTGGCCTTCTTATTCAGTAAACTATACCTATCAAAAACTGAATTTTACCGACAGGTGTTTGGGAGCAGAGAGGTTATGAGGTAGCCCTCGAAACTTTGCTCTCTTATATCTCGAAAAGTACGCGGCCTAGGCCGAAAAGGACCAAAATTTTCTCAACAGAAACTCCCAGAAAGTGGTAATAGGATGCGCAAAGAGAGAAGAGCTAGAAAAACTTAAGCAAGAGACTGGAACAGAATGAAAGTTTGAAGATAGAGAAAACTGAAAATAAGAATCCCATAATACTGGTAAGAGAAGTGAGAGGACCAGATAAGAGCACAAGTGGACGAGCCTATGAAAAAAAAATTGGAAAAGATTGGCTGACTAAAGCAGAAAGAATATATCCAACTAATGGAAAATATCGTAACCAAATATAAAAATAACAAAATACTGATAGCTGATGACTTCAGTGGTTGGAGCCATTGGTGGGGCAGCATCAGATCAGATAGAAGAGATAAAGGGATCGTAGGACTTTTTAATGGGGCCTGAAAATCCTGAATGAAGGCAGCACACCGACGTCCCACACCTGGGGCTGCAGTCTCGACATTATTAGCGATACGATCGTAAAGTATCGAATGTCAAATATTAACGTAAATAATTTTTTGCAGTAACGATCGTGACTTCAAATGCAAGTCTCTATTACCGAGTTACCGAGCAAAATCGTGATCTATCAGACGATAACATATCGAAAATCTGTATTCATAGTGCAGTTCAAGTACAGTTTCCTAAAGTAGAATGTTGCCTCAGAAAAAAGTATATTAAATCTAAGGAAATCAGAACAACATATTTTGCTTTTACGTAATGATTTAATGTTCAATTTAGCAAATAAAAATATTTACTACAAAATGATTGTTTTTTATTTATTCTATAAGTATAATTTATTATTAAATGTGTTAAATCAATTCGATTATTATTGGTAATTAAAATTTCTTTCCTTGAGACATCTTGATGTCATCGATATGTCAAAACATTATTGTTTATCACGGTAAGCTGTTTCGTGAACAACTTCATTGAAAAAAAAATGTGTTGTGAGTCATGGTGGTGGATTCAGATGCGGAATCGCACGTGTAGCTGGCTCCACGTGCTCAAAATATTGCTAAGTACGCACCATTTTGAAGTTAATGAATACTAATGTAAGACTTTAATGTTATTGTTTCTGTGCATACGTAAACATACGCTCAACCCTAGCTATGAGTAGTCAAGTGGACGCTTTGTTAGCCAAATTAGAATCAAACACTTTTATGGCCACAAGGCGGTTCACCGGACTACAAAGTCGCGAGAATTTTGACGCGGCGTGGAAAGATTTGGCTGAGGAGTTAAACCGTCATCATAGCGGGTCAACAAAAACGCCAGATCAGTGGATGACGGTAAATTTTGTTCATTATTGTTAAGTTCAATATTAGCTCTAGTCTTTTGTATATTAAAAAAGGTAGGTAATCTTGAATTTCAGGTTTGGCGAGATCTAAAAAGTAGAGCCTGCACAAGGGCAGCAAAATTAAAAAAGAAAAGGCTCAACCAGGAAATTAGGACATCGATACCCTTCCTCTGACTGAAGCGGAATGGCGAATTGTGTCATTAGTCGGGGCATATTATACTGTGGGTAATTGCCCTAACTCAATGCCAGAAATAGTGGTAAGTTTAGAATTATAGATCTACCCTTTTCCAAAAAAATCATTAAACTTAATCCCTAATCCAAAAATATATTAATATTTCTTTATTGATAATTCAAGATTTAGATACTACAGTTCCCTCTAATATATTAGCTAGTTTTTGTTAATAAATGACTGTTTTCTTCGAGATAAGGTTCACTTTGGCTTGCAGGTTATTTTTAATACAAAAGCGACCTGTTCTTTCAACTTATTTATTCGCACTGTCTTTGGTTATTCTATAGATACAAAATAGAGACGACATACCGCCCACCAAAACTAACAGTTTTTTGACTAATTAAAGAAAACCTTACATTAATTCTTAATATTATCGTTATGGCACATGACACTTTCTTAGATTAGTCAAAAAACTGTTAGTTTTGGTGGGCGGCATGTCGTCTCTATTTTGTAACCCAATCTCAACTTCCAATCCCTATTATCAGGAAGACACACAATATGATGTCACTTAAAGATTTAGAATTAACCCAGGAACAACTTGACAGTACAAGTGATCACATGGCTGGTCAATCATCAATGACACCTACTGGTCCTTCACCAAAGATGGATTTCCTTCCAGACCCTTTAATAAAATTATTGGGACAATTGAAAAATTATTTGTCTCAATTGGAAGATCCTCTAGATGAAAGGATCATCAACACTATGAATTAAATTAGTGTTTTAAGTAGGGATCCTCGGAATGATATAAGTAGACGCTACAGACACCCTGCGATACTGGTAGGAGATGATCTATTACAGATCATGGATGACTTAGTGGACATTTGTATGTTTGGACCTAAGGTAATTGTCTCACGTTTAAGATTCGCAACAACTGCATATACAGCCGCATTGGCTAGGAATGCGAAGGAGACTATTACAGACATTGCCACAACAGCATCTGATATGAAGACTATGGTTGATACCACAATGATACAACAAAGTAATTTCATACAATCTGTAGAACATCTAACATTGGCATGGAATAATCTAACCTCAAGCATGACCAATTACACTTCTGAGATCGACAAGAAAACATTGATCTTAACTAATGTAGCCTCTACATCTAAACACTTTTCTGTTAAAGCACCTTCTACAGTTTCTGATTTCATTCCTGACCAACAAGTGGGTACTAGACTCAACAAAGTACCAGGTTTTGCATACAGATCCAATTTTGGAACATTAACATGCACTATCGATGGGAATATAGGATTCTCTGCTTAAATAGATGATGTCATAAACGTACATAAAAGTACCGTGTCAAGAGTAGTGTATAAAGTGACTAAAGAAATAGCAAAGTTAGCCAGGAGCTATATTACGATGCCCAATGTGGAAGAGTTGAGAATGGTTAAGGCGCAATTTTACAATATAGCTGGATTCCCAAATGTTATTGGTTGTGTAGATGGATCACACATACCTATTCAGTCTCCTGGAGGTGAACAAGCAGAATTGTTTAGAAACAGAAAAGGTTTTTTTTCTATTAATGTACAAGTCGTTTGTGATGCAAAATTATATATCCGTAACATTGATGCTCGATGGCATGGATCGGCTCATGACAGCACTGTGTATCACAACTCATTCCTACGAGCACGCTTGGACAATAATGAGATAGATGACCATCTATATCATTATTGTCCAAGCGACCACCTGCTGGGAGATAGCGCTTATCCTTGTGGGAAGTATATGATGACTCCATTTTTAAATCCAGTTACTAATGCAGAAAAGCTCTACAATGAAGCACAAATTAAAACCCGAAATAGGGTTGAAAGGACATTTCGTGTGTGGAAAAGAAGATACCCATGTCTTTCACAGAAATTAAGGCTCAAATTAGATAAGTCATTAGTTGTAATAGTTGCAACAGCTGTGTTACATAATATAGCTCTTCAACAAAATGATTCAATAATTATTGAATCGGTTTCTGAATCTGAAGATAATGAAGAGATTTTACAAACCATGGATTTACCCACTACCTCTGGTGGTAACCACTATCGTCAATTATTGTTGGAACAATATTTTAGGTAGGTATTTTCCTCAGAACACAAATAAAAGACAATAACTTGAATAAATATTCTATTTGCATATTATAAATTATAATTTTTCTATTTAAATTCTAAATCTAATTTAGCATTTTCTAAAAGAACTTTTTTAAATTCGATATCTAATTCCACTATTGTACTGGTTTTTTCTAATTTTAGGAGTTCATGCTGCCGCTGAATTTCTAGAATTTCTAACTTTTTTTGTTATTATGTCTTCATTTATTTGTTTTTGATTTTTTCTTTTAATTATTGATGCACTTAAGTTATTAATATTCTTTTTTTTTTGTTTCAGTTAAGGTTGTTTTTTTAATTTTTGGTGTGGTGTTGACATCTATGTGGTGCAATGATGCCGGTGACATTAGCTGTTTATGACATTTTATTGTCGAGTCAATATTTTCAACTTCTTCAATGGCCACCAAGTCGACAGTGATGTCTTCTAGAACACCATGCCGAGTACTTTTAACTGGGCTTTCTGCAGCTGTACTTGTTTCACCTCCTGTAATAAATAATTGTTTAAAAATTTAAAAGTAAATCCTAGTAAACTTTATAAATATTAAAAATATATTCTAAACACATCAGTTTTTTCTTTTATATATTCATATAATTTACAGCAACACACATGTGTTTTAGATATCAGACATTAAACAGATAATGTCAAAAATATATTACAGCTAGACACAGAAGAAACACAAGTTCATCACAGATATGTTTGTCCTTGATGGGAATCTAACCCAAAACCTCTGGCCATCATGCCATCGGGACTGCTTAATAGATAATTAGCAATAATGAAATGAAATAAAATGTACTTACTGATTTCATAGTATGTTGCCGATGAATCAAAGTCATTAGTTAGTGGTTGGAATTGAGGAGTTAATAAGGCCACAACTTTCTCGTCCACTGTGGTTGTCTTTGGGCAAAAAGTTTCTCCTTCCGTCTTGTACATTTCAGACTGAAATTATAATAACATAATACTTCAAGAGTTTATGAAACAATACTTATAATTTTTATTAACAGGGCTGAATAGCTTTTACATTGTCCCATTGTTGATTTTCATCTCTGCCCATGAGAGTGAGATTCTTCCAAGTCAAGATGCGTGGTATTTTAATAAAATAAGAAGCCTCTAACACATTACATACTGCAACTTACCTTATCATCACTTCAATTTTTTCTAGCTTTTTTCTTTAAATTGTCTTATAAAGCATGTAGTTGTTTTTCAGTTCTGAAGCCAGTTTGCCGAGACAGCATTATATTTGTCGGTTAGTGCCATCTATGCTAGTTTTTTGGCATCCACAGAAGAACCGTCTGTTTTTTTATTGTCGATTATTGCGTCAAATTCTTTCACTACTTCTATTAAAAGCATCTTTTCACGTTCAGTGAAATTTTTGCTGCGTTTTCCTGATTCCTTATTAAAAATAGAACAACTACGCGGGAACAACTCAAAGCAAACAATCAAATCAACCGAAGTATTTTCTGACATTGACGACTGACGTTTCTTTTTTTTAAAGATGTACATTTTCTCGTCGTCCTTGGGCATTACATACAGATACGGACTAACTAACTTATTTTCATAGTTTTACACTAAAATAGTATTTGATAACTCATTTAACGTTAAAAATGCTATTATCACAAATAAAACATGTACTAAGTACAAAATAAAATAAATAAAGTCAAATTTAGGTCTCTTCCTTGAAAAGTTCCATCTAGTGGTAAAGGACATTGCTCAACGTCCATACATTGGTGGCCCCAGAGTCAAAAAAATATAGGAAAATACTTATTTTATTGTGTGTCACTAACTAATTCTCATTATGTATTTATTATACCGCGACCGAGTTTTAGAACTTATTATCACGCAAAATATAATTCATTTTGAGGTTATAATTTGTTTGGAAAACCACCGAGAGATGGCACTCTAAGTATATGATATGATATTGATGTCTATATTGTCGAAGCAAAAAATCTCAACTTTAAGAAAGTCGGCTTTTCGTTGTTATTTGTAAAAGTTTCTAAGTCAATCAATAGACAAATAAATCATTCTAAAAGTTAAATAATATACCTATTGATAAGCTTAAAATTAAAAAACCTATAGCTTTTTGATGGTTTACATCAAAAGATGGCGCTTTAAATACATAAATGACATGATGTTAATATGTTTACGAGAAATATAAAGGTAATGTAATAGAAACAAAGTAGTTTTTAGGATATGTCGTATGAATATCAATCTTTCTGAATAAACAAGAGTGAATTATCAACAGTTAATGAATTTAGTTTGTATAATATTCAGTTTTTATGTCCTTATGTTTTAGTTGGAAAATCACCAAGAGATGGCGCTTTTAGTAAATTTAAGTTTATTTTCGATCAATTTAATTTAATGTTTTTGTGTTCGATGTTTTAAAGGTTATCTAATAAAAATAAATGATCTTCTTGATCTGACGTGTAAATTACATCCATCTGACTCAATAGAATTTAAGTATGTATATTGAATGTGAATATTTGCGAATAAAAATGTTACTGTTAAAGTATATTAAATATTAATTTTGGATCGCAGCTTGTCCGTGTCAAATAAATATTTGATTCCAATTTAATAAATAAATTAGTAATTATTATTGAAGTATTATTATTTAATGGTATTGGGGCCATTTTCGGCGATGTCCTTAAGGAAATACTTATTGGTTACATAGTTATTGAGTAGTTTGTTGCGTGTTCAGAAACGCAGTGACAGTTAAACGAAGTTTATCTTCTCCATAACTTTAATGAAGCGATAACTATTGAGAACTTAACTGAAGCCCTCAGAAACCGGGCATTAGTTATCTAATCGGAGTACATTAATAATAACGCGATGCAAACGGATTGCGATACGAAACGCGGAGAGCTCTGCGCCTGCGTCCGCTAAATATGGCCGCACAACGTAAAGTGCCATCTTCGAACAAGCATAGACCACTCCCAAGCGATGACAGCCGTCAATGTCATAACTTGACGTTTCGCAAAGCACCATAGATCGTGACAGATGGCGTTTCGCACAATCGAAGCGCCTTCTCGCCGACATATATATGGGTAAAGGGAGACATTTATTTTGTTTATTTGTTATAGATCCTCGCAGCTGCATCAAAATTGCAGGTAGAGGCTGTAATGAAGCAGGCAGAAGCTTCATTGAAACACGCACAAGCGATGAATAAAATAGGGGACGCCTTTTTGCTTCTGGCCCAAAATAAATTAAAGTAGATTTACAACATATATGTTTTTTTAATATACATCCACCTACATAAAATATATTGAAAAAAAAAATATCTTAAGTATAAAAATGATCAATTAGCTGATCAAATCAATCCGACAACAATGGACTTCAAAAATGCAAACTCGACAAAGGCGCTCGTATTACGTTGGAGCCCCGCCACTGACATGTTTACTTTTCGTTCGATTGACAATGATAAAAAAAAAAAGAGTATGAAATGTACCAAGCGTCAACTTTTGTCACAAATTTCGAAAATATTCGACCCCTTAGGTCGGTTATCACCACTTACAATAAGAGCCAAATTATTATTCCAAAAAATTTGCTTAGTGACAATAGAGTGGGATGACGAGGTTCCAAATGACATTTTAAATGATTGGAATAGACTTCGTTGATCAATTCCAAATACCCAGATGAATTAGCAATGTGCAAAAATTAATAGAAATACACGGATTTTGTGCCGCATCTGAACAAGTTAATGCAGCGGCCGTATACTTCAAATCCACAGATTGTAATAATAAAACTACAGTGAGGTTGATGTGTTGTAAAACAAAACTTGCACCGCGAAAAGATACTATTACACTACCTCGATTAGAACTCTGCGGCGCATATTTACTATCAAAGTTAATGCATAAATTATTAAATGCATTAGGCCGTGTTCAAACCAAACTGACTGTAAGCCGCCGAATGTGAGCAGGCTTACTATGAGCCCCAGTGTAAACGTGAAAATAAACGACATTTTTCGTTCACAGTATGTTGACAATACGCTTATAGCTCACAATACGTCAATGGTGTGAACAAACCAGTCGGCTTGTATACGTTCACACCGCATGCATACGCTGAGCGGCCGGCTATTTTTCACATAAAAGAGCTCAGTGATTCGAAAATTAAGCAGTATATCTCGGTACGTGTTTCTAGACTGCTGACTGGGCTGCTAACTAAATAATGTTCGTTAAGATATTGGCCATTCACGAAGCTCATGAGGAAGATGAAGAAAGGAATAAGAGAATTTGGGTACATCCTTTAAATTTAAAGAGATGTTATCTTGGTCAGTTTCATCGTTTATATTTGGAATACAGATGTTACCCTGATAAATTTAAAAAACATTATTGCATGTCTGTAAAATCTTTGGCGAATTATTGTCATTAATACGTACCAAAGTATATAAAAAAGACACTAACTACAGACGTGCTATAGAGCCAGAAGAGAGATTAGCAGTTACTTTAAGGTAAGTAAATTGAAATTTGATAGAAGATTTTAACGTTTACGACGTAACTAAAAGTTTTTAACATAAGTGTTCGTGTTTATTTTCTTATTTTATTTTATGTTATTGTTTATTTTAAAGTTATTTACAGTTTCGACAATTTTAGTAAAATTAAAATTATAAAAGGAAGATTTGCTTTGCGTGCTTCTATAGAACTTTTTAATAATGTTCATAATTACCCAAGTATGATTAAATAATGACTGATTATAGCTGTATTAATCTAGTATTATTGAAATACTTTCCTATTGTTCATAGTTCATTATAATGTGTAGTTGTCGTCAAACTTATGCAAACTACAAAGTTCGATTCAAATAATACACTAGTCCAGTGAAGTATTCGAATACTTGTGCTAGTACTCGAGTGCCTACCCGACTCTTCCGACTCGGGTACTGACTCGATTCTTTTTTTATGAGTACTAAAGTATTCGAATATCAAATATAGCCGACTCGGCACATCACTAAGTCCGCCGGCCGAGCTGGATCCAATACGCTGACGCTTAGCTACGTAGCCAATCAGCGTCCGCGGAGCGTAGTGACGTGCTATATTAATCAGCCGCCGAATGTCAGCGTCTACGCATAGCGTAATAACGTATTGTCGGTTATATGTGAACGGAAAACTGAATATGTATGGAAATACAATAAACTGCGTAACGTTCGCTCACTTTCGGCGGCTTACAGTCAGTTTGGTTTGAACACGGCCTTACAACGGACTGATGTTCCCGTATATGGATAAATTATGTATTGAATAATGTAATTAATTAGTGTGAATTAAACAAATTGTAAGGTTGTCCAGAAATGATAATGCCAACACAGTAGTCAATATTTTATTGAGCGTCTAGCTCGGATAACAGTCGTCACAATAATGCCAATATCGCCCCCTTTTCTCTTAATCGTAGACATTTTATCATCATAGACTAATTTGTCTATGCTTATCACAGACTACGTAGTCCATGTTTTATAATAGACTACGCAGTCTGTGCTCTATACTTCTCAAAGGCGCACATACACTGTAGAATATAAAGTTTGTCTATGAGCAGAAACTTAAGAGGTTTATTAAAAATAGTAACAACACTATATCGAATAAGACTTAATAATGGAGAGTATAATTTAAATATTGAAAGTTAATAGAAGTTATAGTCTGCAGTCTATTGAATTAAGAGACGCATTAGGTCACTAATTTTAATCATTTACAAAATGTATAATGAATTTAATGATTATATTTAAATTAAATTAAATTAAAATGTAATCAATAATGTATGTAAAAGTAATGTAATGAGAATTAACAAAAGTAAGATGTAAATTAATAATAATGAATAATATAATTGAATATAGTTAATGAAAATTTAATAAATGTAATTAAATAAACGTCATTTATTCTGAATAAACGTATTTTATTTATCTGAGCACGCTTCGATGATCAGATGGCGACCTTGCCAAGCGGGCCATAGAGAGTG